GAATCATCAATCTTGACGATTCAGATCATGGCGCGCTGGGGCAGCATTGAGGCCGACCGGCCGCCGGACGGTACTTAGGCCGGTCCAGCGGCCTTTCCAGTAGGTTGGAGGGCAGTACGGCAGGAGGCACCAAGCTGCGCTATTCCTGGTTCAGCGCGGAGGTTGGAGTTGCAGCGCTAAGTTTAGCGCACTGCAGCAAAGGGACGAGAGGAGGGAGACTTACCTGGAGTACCGTGAGCGCCATAGCTCCCAGCGGCTCAGCCCAGCTCCCGCATCGGCCAAGGCGCCATCTTGCAGACGCAGGTTAGGCCTGTGGCTACTCGCCATCTCCCCCGACTCTCTGCCTCCCCTCTCAGTCTTCTTTCTTCTTCCTCAGAGTTCTTCTTCTTCTTCTTCTTCTTCTTCTTCTTCTTCTTCTTCTTCTTCTTCTTCAGACTGGAGACTATTGATACGAGTTGGACAGGGGTCAGTGGTCGGACTTCGGTGGTAGGAGGCTGTGATACTTACCGGATTCGAGACATTGGAGATAGTTGGGAGCGATACCTGGCGGCATCACAGATCGGGCATCGGTTACATTAGGATTCTGTACCACCGACATTGGTGACTTATGTCTACGACATTCTGATTTTGTTCGGTGACATTTTGGGCTACCATATCGGTGACTTTCTGGGTTCTATCTCGGTGACATCTGGCGCTGCCCATATCTCCCACCTCCATCGTCTCTCCTCCCACCATTCATCTGTGTATGGTTGTACGGGGCCTGAAGCATCGTCTATGTATGGCTTCAGACCCCACCATCTCACAATTGCTTGTGTGTTGAGTGGTGTTTGGGGTTAGTCCAGTCAATGTGAGTCAGTCCATTTCTCAGACTTCCGCTGTATATATGCTCATCCTATATTGGTTGATCTTTGGTTCTGCCCATACTTGGTGAAGTTTTCACCAGTATGCAACATCATTACTCACACACCAATCTCACAGTCCAGCTCCTCCTCCTCCTCGCCCACATGTCGAAATCAATGTGGCTATGGCCATGTCAACATAATCACCCTCAAGGCTGGCGCCCACACTCAGTATCTGGCAGCAGCATAAAGCTCCAGCATCCTTGCGTCGTCGCACCAGCATCAAGCCAGCGCCAGGCAGAATGCACAAGACTGAATGATCTCCAAGCAGGGGCTGGGTCACGTTGACCCGCCTCTGGTCTCCTAGGGTCGACGGCCCCGATCAATCTGTGAAGCCAATGGCCTGGATGCTGTACAGTTGCAGATTTTCCACGTGTCCGACTTCGACCGGATTCTTCTGGATACCTGCAAACGACCAATGATGCGCATCTGATCTACGGCCGTGGCTGACCGGCGGGATGACTTTGACCTCTGGGCCTGGATTCCCGTGCTGGGGCTGAACGTTGACTTTCTCAAAGTCAACTGTTCCTCCTAGGGCCTCTGAATGCTGGTTTTGGGCCCTCTCCTGGGTACCCCTTGGCCCCAGGCTCTTCCTAGACTAAGAGAGCCCCCCCATCAGCTTTTGCAGATTTGAGCCGAGCGACTGGTTCAGGGCTTACAGTTAAGGGTCGAAGGTTTAGGGTTTAATGCTAGGACTGGGTTAGGATTCAGCGGCAAGGTTTAGTGTTTAGGGTTTAAGGGTTAGGATTGTGCACTTTGAATTTCGGGGTTACTATTTAGGGGCAAGGTTTAGGGTTTAGGGCTTAAGGGTTTAGAGTTGTTAGAGGGTTTAAGCTTTAAAGGTTAGGATTAAGCAGTTCACGTTTCAAGGCTAGGATTTAGCAGTGAGGTTTAGTGTTTAGGGTTTAAGGGTTAGGACTCTGCAGTTCAAGTTTCAGGGTTACGATTTAGAGTCAAGGTTTAGGATTTAGGCTTAAGGGCTTAAGAGTTTAAGGGTTTAAAGAAGGTTAGGGTTGAGCAGTTCAAGTTTCAGGGTTAGAATTTAGCCGCAAGGTTTAGTGTCTAGGGTTTAAGGGTTACGACTATGCAGTTCGGGTTTCAGGGTTACCATTAGGGGCAAGGTTAAGGGTTTAGGGCTTTTGGCAAGTTCAAGGGCTTAAAGTTTAAACTCTAAACCACTAGTATGCAATCATACTCGACTTATTCACACTTCATCATGCTTGCAAACAGCGATACAGCGAACTGGCGACATGAGCCCACACAGTACTCAAAGATATCGTAACCAGATATGAGTTCTCTTCCAACTGGCTATGGCGGCTGTGCGCCCATACAACTCACTGTTCACACTCGAGATCACCCTGGATGTCCCACACGCAACACTCAATGTTCATACACAACACACACCCACTAGGCTATGGCTATGGCAGCGCTAGCTGCCACTACCCTATCGCTACACTACACTTCTCTGCCCACTTCGTCTTCGGGCACACTGCAGACCTCCTCGCACAAGCTGCTGAGGCAGCGCTTCCGCATGGCATCCACAGGAATGAATGAATGGCTGGACACAACCTCTTGATTTATACTTCTGCGCTGCGTTGGTCTGCCCTCTACCCCTTGGCCCATGATGTGCACAGTCCCAGACGGTACTTGCTTGACTGGACCGGACTGGGCTACCTRGGACTGCTGACTGGGCTAGGTGGACTACCACCACTTGACCACTTGCCTCTGCTGAACACAGGCCAACTCCGAAAGGCCAGTTCTAGAAACCTCTACGTTGGCCCTTCGGTACTGTAGCAGCTACAACTTTGCCCTTTCAGGTAAGTAGCAGCTACGACCTTGACTCCTCAAGCAGCCTACAGCTACCACTTCGGAACTGTCTAGACTCCTAATCTATAGGTSTACAGTTCGATTCCCTTCTACCCCGTGACCTACGACAAATTGCCTACCACTGGCGTTCCTACAGGTCGCAGGTTCAAGTCTACGGGTTGACACTGATACTGTACACAGGTAAGACGGNCCGTGACCTACGACAAATTGCCTACCACTGGCGTTCCTACAGGTCGCAGGTTCAAGTCTACGGGTTGACACTGATACTGTACACAGGTAAGACGGGGATCTAGGGATCGAGCCCTGGGATCTTCATTCGCTACCGCGAACTGGTGAATACCGTTTCACTCCCGCCGGCCTAAATTCAAGGTCCTCCGAGAAAATTTCAGTCCAAGGCAGGACCTTTACCTTTCTGCTGTCTTTCGTAAGCCCGGACTATATCGGGAGCTGTCTCTAGAAGTTCAGATCTTGTAAACCAGCGGTCGTCTTCCGGTTCCTRATAACTAAAATGAACCTTGTATTGTTTCTGCGGACGACCCCTACCTCCAGTTCTGAAGACATCCTCAGCCACTATACCATCTATGTCATATCTTCCATCCATATCAGGTGGGATCATCGATCTACGGGATGGAAACTGATCAYTTGTTTGACAAGGTAGCAACTTCGATGCGTGGAAAACTGGATATGTGTGGAGGTGTGCTGGTAGTTCTATTGTATAGGACGGTCCATCTTCGCCGCCCTTGACTTCCAGAACAGGCCACGTTCCTCTATATGTGGGCAGTAACTTTTGTGAGATGTTCTCCTTCGGCGCAAACTCTTTAGAACTAACCCAGACTAAGTCGCCTACTTGAAACTGTGAAGGGCGACGATGTTTGTTCGCTTGCTCTATCATCCTATGTTGGGATTTTCTGAGGTTCTCTACGACAGTAGCTAGTTCTTTCTCGTGCTGCACAGCAAACTCCCTAGTCCCGGGCGGCAATCTCTGAATCTGATCCCGGTTAAGTCCCTCAAACGGTCTGCGCGGTCTAAAGGACTTGTGCAGTTCGTTGGGAGTGCGGCAGGTGGCTAGATGCACGCTGTTATTGTATGCACTAGCTACTTTAGGCAACATCTCATCCCAGTTAATCTGATCTGGCCTAATAATACATGCGCAAAACTTGTTGCAGGATCTTGTTCATTTGCTCTGTCTGGCCGTTAGTCTCTGGATGGCGGCCGGACGACATCAACAACTTAGATTCGTATACTCCCATGAGTTTTTGCCAGTTCTGGCTAGTAAGGCGACTATCTCTATCGCTAACTATAGACAACGGGATTCCATTCTCACTAACCCAACAGTCAAAGAACCTCTGTATGACTAAATCAGTACGCGCCTCAGAAGGCAAAGGAACAAAAACTGCGTATTTGCTAAAGCGGTCAACTATGACCATGACTTGGCTATTGCCATGCCTGCTCTTGACTTGAGTGTCCATGAAATCTATTGACACTGAGTCTCCCGGATGATCCGGAATGGGCAAGGGTCGGAGAAGCCCTAGCGGGGATCGCGTAGAACTCTTGTTACGCTGGCAGACCTTACAACTGCGAACATACTCTACGCAGTCATTCTTCATCCCTGGCCAGGTATACGCGCGCATTAGATTGGCTAAGGTCTTTTGCCAACCAAAATGACCCTCTGTGTCATGGCATTCGCCCAAAATCAAGCTACGAATCTCTTCGCTATTGGGAATGCACAGGCGGTCAAATACATTAGTCTTCTCAAAGAGTAGCCCTTCAGTAGTGCGGTAGTCCGGCTCAGTTTCTGGGGCCTCCTTGACCTTTTTAAGGAGCTCACTATAGATAGGGTCCTGCGCATAGGCCTCTCTAACCTTCTGTTGCAGGTCCTTCCCTATATCAAGATAGTGTACTATTGCCCCAAAGTAATCTGCCCTCGTACTCAGAGCATCCGCGACTACGTTATAYTTCCCTTTGACAGGCTTGAGCTCGAAGTCGTACTGATCTATTTCTGCGGCCCACCTAGTAAGCTTAGGTGTCATCTTGGCCTGCGTCTTTAACCATCGTAACGTTTCATGGTCAGAATAGACTTTGAAGTGCCTCCCAAGCAAGTAGTGCTTCCAATGGTCTAAGGCTTGCCTGAGAGCGTAGAGTTCTCTCTCATAGGTAGATGTTGCAACCTTCTCTGAAGGCATTATGGCGGACATGAACTCTACGGGTCTATACCCATTGCCATCGTCTTGCTGCAACACTGCGCCTATGCCGTACTGGCTAGCATCCGTAGTAACGACAAAAGGCAAGGACGGATCAGCGACCTTAAGGACTGGATACTCTATCAACGCCTGCTTTAATTTTTTAGACGTGCAGTTCTTGTCCCACTTCCAGATTGTCTCTTTTCTCAGCAATCTGCGAAGGGGCCGCAGCGATGGTGGAGAAGTTCCTCACGAACTTCCTATAGTAATTAGCTAGGCCCAGGAACGAGCGCAACTCTGTCAGCGTACGTGGTGTGGGCCAATCTCTAATCGCTGCGATCTTGCTATCCTCTGGCTTAACGCCGTCTCCGTCTAAGACGTGGCCTAAATACAAAACTTGGGTCTTCGCCCAATCGCACTTCTTTGCATTGATCTTGAAGTTAGCTTCCCTCAACTTCTCCAAGACCTGCCTGAGATGACCCTGATGCTCTTCAAGGGTCCGGCTAAACACTAGGATATCATCTAGGTAAACTACAACAAATCTGTCTAACCACGGCCTAAACAAATCGTTCATACAGCGCTGGAACGTAGCTGGCGCATTGGTTAGTCCAAAGGGCATCACATTAAACTCGTAATGCCCGTACCTAGTCCGGAAGGCTGTCTTATACTGATCATCAGGGTGTACCTCTATCTGATGATATCCGGACTTTAAATCTATCTTAGAGAAATACTTGGCCCCCTGCACTCGGTCTAAGAGATCGTCTATCCTCGGCAGTGGCTCATCATTTTTCACTGTAATAGCATTCAGACCCCTATAGTCTATGCACATTCTCAACTCTCCCTCTTTCTTAGGAACAAAGAGGACAAGTGCTCCGAAAGGAGACGAACTGGGCCTAATCCAACCCTTCTCGAGGAGCTCGTCTAACTGTTTGCGAAGCTCCTCTAACTCCCGCGGGGACATCCTATACACAGCACCCCTAGGAGTCCTACTGCCAGGCTCTATCTCAATACGGTGCTGGATGGGCCGCGGCACCGTGCCTGTCGGCGGCTCAGTCAAATCCTTAAACTCTTCCAGCAGCTTGGCAATCGCGGGGTCCATCGGCTTCTCCTCTGTAGGCTCCGTCACTGGCCTAACATAGGCAACAAAGTCCTGTTCCTCCAATCCCTCCTTCTTCATCAGTCTGGCGAACGCGGGGGCACTAAGGCAGCAGTGCGCTAAGGAATTCTCTACCCCTGACACATGGAACAGGCGGGCAGTCTTGGCCTCGCCTGACGAACTAGGGAGCCTACACTCGTGCTCCTTCAAATGGAGCGTGGCCCCGGCTGCCTCTCCCCAATCCATTCCCAGAACAATATCAAAGGGGAGGCTGTCTTCTACGAGGAGAGTCAGGGAGTGGAG